ACATTTTGTACCTCAGCATTCCCAATACATTTAATTTTTAAATTTTAAAATAATATTTTATGTGCATGTGTGTAATTGCCTGCATGTAGGTAAATGCACCCGTGTCGTGCAATGCCCGAAGACAGAAGAGACGGTTGAATCCCCTGGAACTGGAATTACAGACAGTTGTTAACCGCCATGTAGGTGCTGGGATTCGAACCCAGGTCTTCTGCAAGAACAGTGTTCTTAACCGCTGAGCCATCTCTCCAGCCCCTTAATGTTTATTTTTCATTTACATTTGCTTTGGTTTGATTTGGTTGATGGAGGAACTGGGGACCACAAAGTCTGGCTCTGTTCCAAGGCTATATTACATAATCACTCCGTTATATGGTGTGAGATCTGTAGAATTGCAAATTGATGGAAGATTCCTGAAAAACCTGCCTGAGATCAGAAGTCTTCCCTGACAGAGTTGAATCTGTATACTTTTTGTGTTAATTTGCCACAATGTAGTCACATGGCACTGTGGTTTGAATATGAAATGCCTCCTGTAGGCTATGTGTTGAATATGTGGTCTCTCACTGGTGGCATTATTTAGGGAGGTGGTGGGAATTTGAGGCGGTATGGCCTGGCTGGAGGAAAAAGGGTCATGTCCTTGAGGATTATGCCTGAACCTGTTCATTCTCTCTCTCACTTTCCCTTTTTTTCTTTTCTTTATTTTCATGTGTGATATGTATGTGTGCATGCATGTTTGCATGTGTATGGGCACACATACATGGGAGTTTGTGCATGCATGCATGCATACGTGTGTGTAGGTGGCGTGTCCAAGGCTGATGTCAAGAATTATTCTTGATCTTTCTTCCACCTTATTCACTGAGGCAGGGTCTCTGAATCAAACCCAGAGCTTGAAGACAGAACTAGTTTCTCTAGCCAGCTTGTGCTGGGGATCCCCTGTCTCCACCTTCTGAGGCTGGAATTCCAGGCAGGCTGCCCTGCCCAGCCAAGTATTTACCTGAGTTCTCAGATCAAAACTTCAGTCCTCCCGCTTGCATGGCAAGTGTTTTAGCCACTGAGATATCTCCCCAGCCCCTCTTGCTTCTTCCTGCTTGTCATGAATTGACTAGTTTTCTCCCATAGTACATTCCTATTGCCATGATGTTCTGTCCAAGCACATGGGGGTTAAGTGATTGTGGAGTGAATGAATCCATGGGCAAAATAAAGCTTTTCTCCTCCTCCCTGGCACTTTGGTCACAACAATGATGATAAACGTGACTATACATTATAGTGCTGGAAGAAGGAGCACTGAGTTATCAAGTGCAGGGGAAAAGGCCAGCACACATGGCTGGGGGCCAGGGATGGTGAATGCTATGGGACATGTTGAGTTTGCGTTGTCTCTTGAGCCCATTAAACGATTGGATCTCTGAGTCTGAATGGCTGGTTGTTAAACCTCTCATAGTGGTTTAATTTCATAAATGATTGCTGAATGACTGAAGGAACCAATGCCCCTGAGGGTGGGTGGGGCTGTAGGAACTTGCAGCTTCTGTCTTGCAGAGATGGGGGCCACTGGGCTATGTTGGCTCTGTTCAGACAGACCCCACTAGTTGGCAACAGCCCAAGTAATGAGAGGGAGAGTCCTTCAGCTCAGACATCCTTTTTGGTGGTCTTTGGGAGGATCTCGTTTTGAAGGTTACAGACTCTCTGGCTCCCAATTTCCTTCTAGCCTGACATGTCAAAAGGCAGTCTGGTCCAGTTGTCCAGTACATTGAATAAATAACTCTCAGTGTGAGTTTGACCTTCTAGAGGACCTATCCAACACCACCCCCCATCTGCTTCTCTTTATTAGAAAATGAAGGGCTAGAATTGGACAACCACTTACTTCCTGAGTCCCATGCTCCCAACTTCCTTCTGGAATGAAACCCAAGTTCCCAAAGGGAGGAGGCCTCTGCTATGAGGAGAAACTTCCTTGTCAGACCCTGGGGATACCAGTTCCCAGGATTTTGGGAACACCTGTCTTCCTTTTCCAGAGCCCATCTCTCCTTTTTTCAGGGGGTGGATCTAGTCAGAAGGCTGAGACCTCATTACCCCACTTAGCCTCGCACAGGGCCAAGCCAGCCCACCTGGCTGACCAGTCTAGCCAGATCAGAACTAGGAAAATAGGCACAGAGACCAGGAACATTGCTATTGGCCAAATGCCAGCCTACCTGAGGCCCTGCTGGCTGAGAGACAGACTGAGCAGAGCTACCCTGATCTAGCTTCCCTGGCTCTGGCTCAGTTCTGACTGGACCAACAGCAGCTCTGGTCCCCTCCTCCTTAGGTCCAACCACTTGTTACGCCCACATACCAGCCCTCCTCCCCCAGCACCTGCCCAGCCCTACCTTTCGGGAGCACCATCAGGTGGGCCTGGGTCCTCTGCAGTCTCCTCAGTCCTTCATACTGGGCTCGCAGGAACTGGATGTTAACAGGAGGGCCTTGCCCTGGGGCCTGAGTTCGGGAACTCTCAGCCATGAAGCAGGGTCTCAGCTCCAAGAAGTTGGGTAGGTCTGGGCATAGGCAGGCCAACCCTTTCATCCGGATCCGGGAGAAAAGCAAACACTGAGGTCTGAGACAGGGGGAGGGGAGAGGAGGGGGAAGAAAGGGTAGGTGGTAGGGTGAAAGAGGAGAGAAAGGGGAACACAAAGTGAAGATAGAAGCTGGGAAGATAGGCCGGAGGGAGAGCAGTGGAAGAGGAAAAGCGGGGAGAAATTGAAGAGAGGCGACGGGAGGTAGGAAGAGGAAGGAACCAAAAGGAAAGGTCAGCTAAGAGGAAGATTTGGGAAGGGGCCAAGAACTGGCTAACAGAGGAGGAAGGAGTGAGGTAAGAGTAACAAGGTGGGATTAGTGGGGTGAGAGCAGAGGGCGAGGAGGGTGCAACAGGCAGGAGGAGGTAGGAAAGGACGGACTGGAGAGTGTGGATGAGAATGTGCCACTAAAGAGGAACGCAAGCACAGCTGCTGGGATCTTCCTGGCGGTCCACGGAGGTCTTGTTCCAAGTGCTTTGCTGCACGATCGTCCAGTTTAGAATGTAGTTCCAAAGACTACAGTGAGATCCCAGTTTCCTGGCAGAGCTGGAACTGGCTGAGGAGTGCCAGGTGCCCGCTTCCCTCACACATCTTGAACTTGACTTAGCAGGTCATCAATACCTGCTGGTTGAGTGAGCAACCGTCAAAAAGAACACCTTCAGTAGCCTCAAAGGCTGGGCTCAGGATGTGTACAAGGTCACCCTCCAAACCTCCATGCAGCCCCCAGAAAAACAAACAAACAAACAAACAAACAAACAAACAAACAGCTCCAAAGTCTACAAAGGACAGAGTCCAGGGGAGCTCTGGCTCTGTGCCGGTCCCACCCCCTTGACATTTGATCAGCCTCTGTGGTCTTAGCCTTTTCCAACAAAGCAGCAGTTTGGCGTTTATCTTGTGCACATTCACACCCTGTTTGCCAGCCCCACCATTGCTCTGAGTGTCAGACACTGCCTCCTCTAATGCTAGCTGTGACTTACATTGCTGTGCTTGCTTGTTTCACACAGGCTAGAAGTCCAAGATCAAAGTGTGAGCCGAGTTGGTACTCCTGGGGGCTGGAAGGAGGGAGAATCTGTTGTATGCTTCTTCCCTACTTCTGGTGGCTTGCTGCCCACTGTTAGTGCTCTTTATCTTATAAAAGAATCACCTGATATTTGCCTTCATCTTTATATGATGTACTCATTGTGTCTCTGTCCAAATTTCCCCCTTTTATAAGGATGCCATGTCACTGGATTGAGACTTAACCTGATAACCTCAACTTAATTTAACTAATTAAATTGCCAATAAACCTATTTCCAAATAAGGCCATACGGTGAAGCTCCAGGCTTATGATTTAAACAACTAAATGGAGGGGGGGGGCATAATTAACCAGGTAGAGAAATGACAGCTCCGTTCAGAGAGGCAGGTACAAGAGAAAAGATTGTGGGAGGGACAGCCAGAGGATTTGTTTTAGATGTCTCAGTTCAGGTGCCTGTGACCTTTGGGGCTGCAGGAGGGAGTCAAATGCTGGGTAGAGAGATCTTAGCTGAAAGTGCAGATGCCATTGTTTGTGAAAATGGTGGTCTATTGTGAAAGTTTTACTGTTAGGAAATGTATAATAAAGAGGTTGTCCTTAATCCTTCCTTCCTTTCCTCCCTCCTTTCCTGCCCTCTTTCTTTCCTTCCTTCCTTCTCCTTCTCCTTCTCCTTCTCCCTCCCTCCCTCCCTCCCTGTCTCTCTCTCTCTTCTTTCTTGTGTGCAGAGACACCCCCCTTCATGTGCTCCTACTTTCTTCTGTCTCTTATCCCTGGTTTTCTTTCTTGTGGCCCCCTGGTTCATTATGATGTTCTATTGGGATGAAGGATGCAGACTGGATGGATCTTCTAGATTACGTCTACATTACATACTCTTGTGTTATGGATGTGTTTTAAAGAAAGTTACTCTCTTTTCCCTACTTCATGATTTCTTCCTCAGATCCTGGCTTGAATTGGGTAGAGCTCCATCAGTGGAGAGGGCCTGTACTCCTAGAAGGGGACTTGGGAGAGAAAATACCCACCCCACCTCATAGGAAGGGAAGAAAATCTTTAGCTCTGTGCGTCAGCTGGTCTCAGGATTCAGTGAGATTTTTATCTGGGGAGAGTCTACCTTAAGAAGCCAAATTCTGGAGAAGACAAACGTTTAAGGAACAGATAGAAGGAAGTAAGATAATCAGTGTCGGGGCTGGAGAGATGGCTCAGCGGTTAAGAGCACTGGTTGCTTTTGCAAAGGGCTTGGGTTTTCTTCCCAGAACCCACCTCTATCCGTAACTCTACTTCCAGAAGATCTGACCCCTCTTCTGGACTCTGCAGGCACTTGGTGCATGTATAAACATGCAAATCAAACAGTCATACACATAAAATAAAATAAATAAACCTGGGGCTGGAGAGTTGGCTCAGCAGTTAAGAGCACTGGCTGTTCTTGCAGAGGACCTGGGTTCAGTTCCCAGCACTCACGTGGTAGCTAACAATCATCTGTAACTCCACCTTCAGGGGATCTGATGCCTGCCCTCTTCTGACCTCCGCTGGCATTCCACGACTTGGGTGCACCTACCTACGTACAGGCAATACACTCATACCATACACATAAATAAATAAAAACAAACAAATATTTTTTAAGAAGTCAATGTTGAAAATGGAAAAACAAAGATAAAATGATAGGAAAAGCGGCAGAGAAGGAAAACCCAGGACATAAGGAAGGAGAGAGCATCAACAAAAGGAAAGTGCTGTATGAAGGTTTTTTTTTGGGGGGGGTTGCTGCTTGTTTGTTTTAAAATTTTATTTATTTTTATTTTATGTGTATGAGTGTATTGCCTGCATGTGTGTAAGTGCACCTGTGTTGTGCAATGTCCAAGAAGGTCAGAAGAGGGCATCGGGTCCCCTGGAACTGGAGTTAGGACAGTTGTTAGCTGCCATGTGGGTGTTGGGAATCACTTTTTTTATGTCACTGTGACAAAATACCTGACAGAATTAACTTCTAGGAGGAAAGCTTTATTTTAGCTCATGGATTCAGGTCACTAAAGCAGGGAAGGAGGAAGAGCTGGGTCTACAGCTGGGGAGCATGTGGCAGAGAATGTTCACATGATTGGTAGACCAGGAAGCAGAGAGTTGTGGGTACCAGCTATAACCTCCAAAAGCCTCCCTCTAGTGACCTACTTCTGTCATCTGGACCCTATCTCCCAAAGACTCCATAGCCTCCTAAGACAGTGTCACAAGCTGGGGACCAGGTATTAAAACATGAGCCTGTAGGGAACAGTTCAGATTCAAACTATAGCAGGTGGCAAAAGATGGGGAGGCAGAACCCCTTATCTCCCCTATGGAATAGCACCTGAGCCACCTGTGTGGAAGGCCGGCTATGTGCCTGGCTGTACAGTAAAACCTTTTCTGCTCAGTGCCTCTGTGAGCATTGTGATTCAGATAGTAGTGGTGTCTGGAGATGTGTGTACTTCTAAAATACACTGCCTTCAAGAACCACTGCCCAGTTTTCTGGCTCTCCAAGACTCTACTTAAGAGACAAGCAGTGGGAGGGACAACTAAAGCTTTGTCCATTTGTTAACCCTTTGATTTGTTTTTGTTTTTCAAAGAAGGTTTCCTATAGCCCAGGCTAGCCTCAAACTTCATATATAAATAACTAAGGCTGGCCTTGAATTCCTGATCTTCTTGCCTCCACCTCCCCAGTGTGGAATAACAGTCATTTATCATTAGATCTAGCTTGATCCCTTTCTTTCTTTTACCATCCAAATCCTTAATCTAGGAATTGATTTTAGTATTGAAGTATTAGGTATAAAGCATGGATGTAGCTAATTTTTTTCTGTAATTTTCCAGTCGTCACAATAACACTTATTGAATAAACTCTCCTTTATCTGTGATCCATGCTAATGATAATAATGATGCCATCCCAGGGAGTCTTTAGAAATAAATAACAAATTATGGCTGAGTCAGGTAGCCTTCCAGGAACATGGCAAGGACTGCTTATACAGCAGGGTGCCCCTCATTATCTGGTAGACCCTCAGGGAAGCAGAAAATGAAAGTCCTTGGGCACAAGACTCTGGAGTAAGGATGAGATGTTATTTGAGTACATATCTTCCTTCTCCATGTGTATTTAAGTGTATTGAACCTGTGATGTGCTGTTTGTGGTGGAAAGCCGACACCTGGGCTTCAGGTAGCCAGTCTTTTCCGAGAGGACCACCCCTCCCACCATTCTCAAAGCTCTTGCTGGATGGAGCTTATAGCAAGAGACATCAGAGCCCCAGGACTCATGGCCACACTGTCCAAGGGATCCAGCTATTCAAAGATGTGTGGGAAGCAACAGGTATCACTCACTGCTGTCATGGTAGGTCAGCCTCGGTGGGTGGAGACTCAAACTTAAAGAGAAAGCTCTTAGGGGAGCTGATGTGCCAGCCAAAGGCCAGGGCAGCCAGGTGTTCAGTGCGCATGGGGAAGGACTTTAGTTTGGAGTTCTTTGACTGGAAATTCCATACTTGTGGCTTCGCCTGGTTAGAATCCCTCACTGACTTCCCAATGCAAAACTGTCATTCAAGTCCTCATAGACCATTAGGTGGTGCCTTTCTTGTGTTTCCTACTCTCTAGTCTCTGTAGCAATTTTCTTTGAGTTCTCAAGATTCCCTGCGTATTGGTTGCAGATCTGCTCAAGATGGAGAGCCGCAGATCTTGGGTCATGTACCTCCAGCCCCAAATTGCTCATTCACTTCCTGCAGTCACCACACAAACAGTACCATGTGCCAAGTGTGCCAGGTGAGCATAAGGGAGCAAGTTCTCTCAAAACTTCTCTCATTTTACTGAATGCCCCCAATGTCTTCTCCTTCTAAGAATTTTGGTATGAATTCTCTGTGTTTCAGAACATTCCTCACCTCTAACTCTGCAGCATACCACACAAGTCTCTCCTTGTTGGATTATCATCACCTCAGTCCTCAGCTTCAGGAGAGGTATAATGTAAGGGTTAAGACCATGGGATGTGGAGCCAGACTTGTACTTGACCTTCCTTCCTCTGAGCAATGTTCCTCTGGGCAAGTCACTTTGCTTCACTGTGCCTGTGAAAACAACAATCCCCAAATAGAGGGAAGGAGCTTGAGCTGAGCAAACAAGTAGGATAGAGCATCGTCTTTTAGGAGCAAGGCATGACAGCAGTATGGTTCATTTAATCCTCACAGTTATGTGGAATAGGTACCACATCATAATAATGACTATTTCTGTAATATCACCCTTGCTTTGCAATGGTAAATGGCTTAGCGCAGATTAAGACTTTCCAAAGTTCCACATCTCCA